TTAAAGGCATCCTTCTCCCTCACCGCAGGAATCACTCAAATTAAGTCAGACAAATTCGAATCTGTCCTGACGTTTTTTATTCCATTTTTCTTGTGCGCGCTGCACGCCTCAAGGGGACCACCTCAGTCACCGTGCTTGCATCTGCACTCCAACAAGAGCATGATACACTTTGGAGAAGCTGCTGCTTCAGGAGTGCTGTTTGCCAAGCTTGAACAAGTTAGGGTAACGGACTGTAAATCATTTATGTATTCATTCTAAATTTCATTTTATTAACAAGACACCCTGCATGCAATTTCCCATTTTTTCCAATAAACACTTTAAAAATAAATAGTAAATGATCATTAATACTTATTATTCAATAAAAATTAAAAGAGATTTTAAACCAAATTAAATGCAATAATGAGGAAAAATCAACAAAAAGAATAATAATGAGTAAAAATATCGACTATATTTATGCAAGAAAAATTTAAATATTACTAATAAAATAAATAAAAACTTTAATGCAAAATTAATCTTTAATTTGAAATGTAAATAAATATTGTATTAGTTTATATTTGCGTTAAATTAAAAATTTATTGCTGAACTTAAAAATATTTAAAATAAAATAAAATTGTTGAAGATAATTTATTATTCAGGTCACTTTTTTCGTATTTTTTCCCCGTTCTAAATTTTAAATCTCTTCCAATTAATTAAGCATTAAATTAATTCATAACAATTAGAAATCTTCTCTTTTTTTATTTTTAGTTTTCAATTCCACGACCCGTGCATAAGTCCCTTGTTGGAGAGCCAATTTAAAAATGACTCTGACTTCTTGGCAGGCAGGGGTTGCTGCTTTATTCTGTTATAGGTGCATGACAGCACTCGTCATCCTCCCTGCTACGATACATAATGAAACCAACTTGCATAAATAAAAACTCGCTGCATTATATCATTCCAGAGCAAAAACCAAACCAACAACTCAAGTCATCGGGGGTGCATCTCGCTGGGGAGAGACATTGAGTCCCGCATTTTTAATCTGCTACAAATTAGGAGCGACGCAGACCTTCTGCTCGCAATTAACCCTCGTCGCACATCCTGCTGGCTGCTGCACATATTGTCTCTGCTAAGCGTGCACGTCGACCAGATTTTTTCCATATTCTTTTCCCTCTCTCTCGGCTCTGCTCAAATTGCAGCCTCCGCAGGGGTTCTCATTTTTCCGCAATTAGGCCTACTTGGCGCAGATGAATGCGGCGTATAATGACAAATTGCCACTTGGAATTGTTAGGAGGAAAAATTGTTCCCATGTATACGTATAAATCACCACAAATTAACTTAATTGCATTGCAAATGTGGTCAGCCCAATTTCAAATACGAATGCGTACATAAATCGAGGGGGTAAAATTTTGCATAAGTATGATTTAATTTGCTATAAAAAAAGTTCAGTAAACCAAAGCTAAGTAAAGTTATAGTTAATAATTATAGAATTTAATTTATCCGCAGCTACAGGAGGTTGAATTTTTTCCCAAAAATTCTCAACTGACAAATTAAAAGTCTATCTAACTTATTAAAAAACAATTGAATCTCTTAAATATAAATGCTTAAATCTCGACATTGACACGCAAAACAAAATCTTTAACAGTAAAAGGAGAAAAATCAATATGTTTTTGCTTGCAGGAAAATTCAATTTCCTCTTGGGAACGGGAGCACAATATTAAGAAGAAAGAATAATAAGCTCGATCAACGCGACTTTTCGCTAATAAGGAATATTGTTTTGTCGCGCGCTTCCTGCGTCAAAACATCCGCTTCTATACAAAATCAAATTTTCAAAGGTCACAAGAGGAAAAATCTTTTTCACGTAAATCACTACGAGCTAAATAACCGAATTGATTGCATTCCAGCCCAATTTTAACGTGCAAAGAAATCAAATCAGCTAAATTGACCATGGGGAAATTTTACTGGAGAACAACACAGTTAGCATACTTTGGAATTAATTAGAACAGAAAAAACTCACGTACACTAACAATTAGCTGATAATTTATAGTAATTTCATAATTGTTCTGAACAGATCTTCATGGTTTTTAAATATTCGTTTGTTTTTAATGTTGCAGTTGTTCTTGTCAACCATATTTTTACTTTCAAATAATTTTTTTAAATAAAAGGAATACGTTACACGAAACGGCTCCACCATTAGCAAGATTTTAATTATATACATCGTGTAGAAAATTTATCTTAATGTAGTAATTTTTTAATTAACAATTACTAGAATACGCGTATTTGCAGAAAAGAGCAGGACATGAATGTTAAAAATTTGTGTATTCATTAAAAGAAGTTCAATTGTAGGATTAGTGATGGAGATAAATATTATAATATTTAAAACAACTCGAAGAATTGAATTTTGACTTGCCACAAACAAAGGAGAACAAATATGGAGTTTTTTTGTTGCCGTTGAATTCAATTATCTCTAAAGAAACGGAACAAACAAGAAAAGAAAGAATAATAAGCTCGATCAACGTGACTTTCTGCTAATCTTTTTGTCGCGCGCTTCCTCTACGAAACATCCGCCTTGAAACAAAATCAAATTTCCAGACGTCACAGGAAAAATCATTTATTTTTGTGATAAAAATTCAATAATATTTTATCTTAAATAAAACGTCTGAAGCTGGTCTGAAGTGTGCGCCAATTTTATTAAAATATTTTAAATATTTTCATAAAATTTCCAGCATTAAATTTATAGCATTCGAATCAAAACTGATACGTGACGATTGGTTTTGTCAAAAGTTTGTTGCTTCATTGTGTTTGGCAAAAAATATTTTGACATCACCTGCTATCGTCGCATCGAAACGAGGCTTATTCCACCCTACATCTGTACACTGGCGTTTTTGATGCTGCGTCTGCGACAACACTTGAGACTGGCGCGTCGCGCACCCCTTTTCGGCGCTGCGTCTGGTCGTCCCCCCGTCTCGCTGCCGCACCCCAGCGGCGTTAATGCCCCTCTCGGAATAGCACGGTTCATTTGATTCTTTTAAGCATCATGAATGGAAGATTGATAACTGCACACTATGGTAATGAGCCCCTGCTCTATGTGTGCGGTTCGGTGACATGAAAAGAAAGGAGAGAAACGAGTTTAATCATTATCATAGTGGTCCAAATTGCGACAATCGTCTCGTAAATCACGAAAAAAAGGCCAATCAAAAACTAGATATAACGAAAATTAATGTCACTTGAACACAAAAAATTATTTAGTATATACACAAGTCGAGGGTGGTTTTTCGAAAACTATTGCTGGGGGCGACACGCTGGCTGCATACGAGTAAGGGGGAGACGCATTTTCAAATGCGCTTAATCATTTTATTTTGCGTTTGATGCCGCCGTCGTTGGATTAATGACGTGTTGTCGCTAATTGCTCGGAGGAGATTTGGTCCCTTTCAAAAGAGACGCCGCGCCGATCGACGTGCGATTCAATTACCGATTTAATCCCGTTTCGCAGCTCTAGTCCCAAAGAGCTTTATCGCACGCCGCTCTAAACATTTGCACTCAATCTATTTTGCACGTCCAGAATTAGCTCTCAAAGGCCAGCTAGTTCAGGGAAACAGGCTCAATTATTTCGCTTTTACGCAGAAAAAAGAATGCATTGAGTTGTTCACTGCCTTTGCAGCATCATTTAATTAAAAGTACGGCAATTTCAATTTGAAAAAAATTTTGGACATTTTAAATACCATTCCAATTTTCATTTATTTAAAATTTTGTAGTTTTTTATCTTCTTCACAGTGATTAATAGCAAAAGTGACAAATGATTTTATTATTTATTGTAGAAATGTTAATATGAAGAAAACAAATCGGCCAGTTAGTCTAAATCATAATCATATCTTCAGCCAAAGCTGAGATATATTATTTTCAACTTTCAGAAATATTAACAAAAAAATAATTTTAAAAATAAAATCTTAAAAATATAAGAAGTCACAAAAGTAAGGCAAATTCCTATGTTTTCAGTTTCAAAATTTTTTAGAATAAAGATCATTTAAATTTTAAAGCTTTGTCCTCATTTATTAAAATTTTCCCCCACATACGCCAACTTAATTTACATTGAGTTTCAAAATGAGGGTAACTATGCACCATACATGAACTCATCCAAATAAATGACAAAAAATAAAGATTAAAACAAGAGAGAAGTATACATTAGTATTGCTCAAAATATTTCTTTATAAAAAATAGCATTTATTTTATGCTGCAAATTTCTTATATTTAACGAAGAAAGTGATTGAAGCTTTTTTTTAATGCCAACGCTAGCTTGAAAAATTGCCTCCGTATTGATCAAAACTTTCCTCAACTCCCACACAACTCCCGAAATATCACCAGCCCATAGAATTTCCTTTTTTCGTCGGAGAAATATGCTGCCGTATGTGTTTATTTATCACCGATTCCGACCAATTCCCATGATCTCGGCTGCAGTGTCATTCACATATTGTAAGCGCAGCGTGAAGAGATAAATTTTTCTCACATGCCCACGCGGCTATTTAGAGCTGCAGCTTCGGACGCAGGCGGTGCACGGCTTCACATGGGCTACATGTGCTTCGTGTATATTATTTCAACGACTATTTTATGAGCTCAAGTGCAGGCGTATATAATATGTGTGCGAGTTGATCCAATGTTGTTATAGGATAAGCCTGCTCAAGACACGGAGCAGAGCCACGGATAGATAGATCATCCAGCAGCCTTCCTTGCATTGTGCTGCAGCATTTTCCACATTGCTCACGAGAATAATAATATGCAGATACAATGCGCCCAGCAGGGGATATCATATATGCATTTCACTTCGAGCCAGAATCTGATGCTATATTTATTTAAATTTTGACAAATATTATAAAAGAAATAAAAAAATCAATTTTCTTTTATTGATGTATATTTTAGTTTAAAATAATATTGTATTCATTGGAAAGGTACGAAAGTTTGTTTTATTTACTTATATTCTGATCAAACTGTCACTAGTAAGGAGTTCACGCAACTTAAAAGAAACAAACGAATTTACAAAAAAAAATTCATAGTTTTGCCGATTTTATTAACAACAACTCGCTTGCTTAGAACTGACAATATTAATTAAATTTGTTCTTCACATTAATTTTTCAGGATCTGAATTTTCAGAATTAACCTTATTTTTAGAGGTTTCCTTTTTCCCTCCTGTTTGTTTCTTTCCATTCTTCTCCTTCCTTTTTGGATTGCCTGTCTTCTTTTCTTTCAATTCTTTTTTGACTGATTTGACTTTTTTAGTCTTGTTCTCTTTTTTCAAATTGGAAATTCCTTCTTTCTTCGCATTCTTATCTTTTTTTATCTTTTCAGTTTTCTTATCTGTCTTTTTCCCATTTTTTACCTTCTTTATACCACCGTTTCCAGCGTCCTTCTTCTCTTTTTTCACTTTTTCTACTTTTTTCACCTTTTTTAGTCCCTTCTTTATCTGATCTTTTTGCTTCTTGATTTCCTTCTTTAACTGTTCCGTTTGCTTCTTAATTTCCGTTTTTACAGATTTTAACTTTTTAATGTTCTTCTTTTTCTTGGCATCTTCTTTCTCAGGTTTTCCTTTCTTTTCCTTTTTGACCTTTTTCAGTCCATTCTGGTTCTTTTCTTTTTGAACTTTCAACCCTCCCTTGACCTTCTTTACTTTCTTATCCTTAACTTTTTCAGTCTTATTTTCCTTTTTAGCATTGTTTGATCCTTTTTTCTTCTTCTCCGCTAGCTTATTTTGATTATTGCCCTTTTCGGGTTTCCCTTTATTTTTCTTGATGCCCTCCCTGACTTTTTTAACTTTCTTCTCTTTGTTTGGCTTTTTTAATCCATTCGCCTTTTCTTTTTTAACGCTTTCCTTGACTTTTTTAACTTTCTTCTCTTTGTTTGGCTTTTTTAATCCATTCCCCTTTACTTTTTTCTCTTTCTTTGTTTGCTTATAATTTTTTACCTTTTTAACTTTGTTCTTTCTCTTATCACTGTTAACCTTCTTGTTTTCCGTGTCTTTTCCAGGGCTTGCAGTTACTTTTTTATTTCCCTTTCCCTTGCCAAGTTTTATTACCTTCTTAATTTTCTTTTTCTTATCAACTCCTACTTGTCTCCTTGCGATTGGAGCTAAAAGTGAACTGTAGCAATTAGAGAAGAGGCTTGTAGTTTTGGTGCAGGAAGTAGAAGAAACTAAAGATTTCGATTACTATTATTCTCATTTTACTCGTATTAATTCTCAAACCTTTGCTGGGGCAGTTCTGCGAAACACAAAAATACAGTTTATTGTTCAATGTAATCATGGATGCTATTGACAAACACTAAACTTACAATATTCATTTCCGCCAGTATGCACTGGATTACGACGAGAGGTTTGCCATCGCAAGATAATTTGCCGGACATGAATGCAGGGATACTCAAGCCTTTATAGTAAGGTTGAAACTTAAAATCATTGTTTACATAATAACCAATCAAATATTCAATTATAACGGGTTTGGTTCTCCGAAACAGGTTTTAACTGATAATTATATTGTTTTTCGTACCCTGTTCAGTTGCCAGGCATTTGGTGACAGCGTCGTTTATGATTGTCGCCCAGGGCTCGCTTTGAGTCGATGTTAAAAGCGCAGTTAATTCTGCATCTGACAAAGTTCCATCGGTTTGCAACTATTAATATTAGAAATTTAATTGATTAAAAGGCCAAAAGTTGTATCTCCAGATTTGAAGAAATGTCCTTTTTCAAGTGTTAAATTAAGACTTCCAACTCTGCGCTAGCAAGTTGCAACGCATCACGTTTACACAATTTGCAAGGCACGCTGTGTCTCAATAATGAACAATGACAAAAACTTACAACGGCTTTATTGGTGAGCACGCAATTTACAAAGCACTGAAAATAAACAGCTTTGATGCATACTTTGACAATATTTAATAAAAATAACTTACAGCGGCTTTGCCCAAAGCTCTCATTACTTTCGCATCATTGAAGTTAATGGCATTGACAGGATTGTTGAGTGGGCTCTGCTGCTTGTTAAGTGTAAAAAGGTTGAATGCATTCATCTTTAATTTTGTTGATTTGCAAACTGTCTTGTCTACAGACAGCAATGGTGGTGCATTGGGTGAGCAACAGGAGGCCAATTTTTTCTAGAATAATTTGCATCTTTAAAATAAATTTAACATAATTACAGTATAACACAAACTCCGTTTATTTGACGGCATTTTGGTGTTACTAATAGAATAGGCTTAGTTGCTGTAGGAGTAGTGGTGTCCGTAGTGGTGTCCGTAGTAGTGTCAGTAGTAGTGTCAGTAGTGGTGTCAGTAGTGGTGTCAGTAGTGGTGTCAGTAGTTGTGTCAGTAGTTGTGTCAGTAGAAGATGTTCCGACAGAAGTAGTGGAGTTACTAGTATCTGTTACGTTGGTGCTTCCTGCTCCAGGAGTGGTTGATCCTCCTTCAGGAGTGCTGCCTGAACCGGGAGAAGTTGATCCTCCTCCAGGAGTGCTGCCTGAACCGGGAGAGGTTGATCCTCCTGCAGGAGTGCTGCCTGAACCGGGAGAGGTTGATCCTCCTCCAGGAGTGCTGCCTGAACCGGGAGAGGTTGATCCTCCTCCAGGAGTGCTGCCTGAACCGGGAGAGGTTGATCCTCCTACAGGACTGCTGCCTGAACCGGGAGAGGTTGATCCTCCTCCAGGAGTACTTCCTGAACCAGGAGAAGTTGATCCTCCTGCAGGAGTGCTGCCTGAACCGGGAGAGGTTGATCCTCCCACGGGAGTGCTACTTCTGGGAGTAGTTGATCCTCCTAAAGGAGTGGTACCTGTGCCGGGAGTGGTTGAAGCACCTAAAGGAGTGGTACCTGTGCCGGGAGTGGTTGATCCTCCTACGGGAGTGCTGCCTGAACCGGGAGTGGTTGATCCACCCACGGGCGTGCTACCAGAACCAGGAGATGTAGAACCCCCTATAGGCGTGCTGCCTGAGCCAGGAGTGGTTGATCCTCCAACAGGCGTGGTACCTGAGCCAGGAGATGTAGAGCCCCCTATGGGCGTGCTGCCTGAACCAGGAGTTGTTGATGCACCTACAGGAGTGCTGCCTGAGCCGGGAGTGGTTGATCCTCCAACAGGAGTGGTACTTGAACCAGGAGATGTAGAACCCCCTATAGGCGTGCTGCCTGAGCCGGGAGTGGTTGACCCTCCAACAGGAGTGGTACCTGAACCAGGAGATGTAGAACCCCCTATAGGCGTGCTGCCTGAGCCGGGAGTGGTTGATCCTCCAACAGGAGTAGTACCTGAGCCAGGAGTGGTTGAGACACTAACGGGCGTGCTTCCTGAAATAGGAGTAGTCGATCCACCTGCAGGAGTGCTTCCTGAACTGGGCGTGGTTGAAGCACCTACAGGAGTGCTGCTTGATCCTGCTGCGGGAGTGGTGCTTAAACCGAGAGTAGTTGTTCCACTTGCAAGAGTGGTACCTGATCCGGAAGTGCTTGAACCACCTGCAGGAGTGCTACTTGAACCGGGAGCAGTTGATATCCCCACAGTACTCGACACTGCGGCAACTGTGGTTGGGGTTTGCCCAGTGACATAATCCGTCAGCTACGAAATTATGGAAGTTGTAGTTCTAGTATATTTTTTTTTACAGACTTTTAATGTTGTTAATTGTATGAGTTTCTTCGTGTTAGTTAATATATTAACCAGTGGCATTAAATTAAGCCAAAATAAAATTAAAAAAAAGAGACTGAATTCTCTTCCATAGGAAATTAAATTTCTGGTATTTTATGTTACCTGGTAGGCAATGAGGAGCAGAAAAAGGGCCTTATGCATCGTGACAAGTGACATAGTTTCTTCGTTGGTTGAATGAAATGATTTACTGGGTTCTCCTTATATACATCCAATTTGAGGAAAGAATCGTCACTGTAATGCGTAATCTAATGATAATTCTGCCTAATTAGCAGCCTCATTATTTTCTCACTTTTTTTGAAGGTTAATATTTGAAGATCAGACTTTCCTTCAGTTTATCATTCTTTTTCGCCCATTATCTGCTTAATTATTTTGGTCTTCCTGTTTTTTCCACGTAGCACGCTGATAATTTTAGTGAGTACTCTCTGGAAAATGCGCTAATTGCATACAACCTTGATAATTTTGCGGAAAAAACATCTGCCGCGTAGTTCCAAATTCCAAGGTAAAATTCTCAATTTAATAAAAATTGCACGAGGATTTTTTATAGAAAAATCATGTAATTTAAAATAACTATCTTTTCGTTAGTTTTGAATATAATATTTAAATCTTTTGTCTACAATATCTTGCTAAAGTCTCTTATTCAGACGGTCTCCCAGTTGTAGCTCGCATGCATGTTTTGTTCATATTTCCATCGGCTCTGAAAATGTATGTTTGCACACCCGCATGCATATATCTTTATATGCATTTTCTACTGAATGTGTGCTGCAGAATACGTTAAAAACATACACACATGTATATTGCGTCGCAGACTCAACCACGAGAGCAAACACTCGAGACGGCAGCTTTATGCAGGAAAAACGTGTTTATTTTTTCCGACGAAAATAATAATAAAAAAATTGCAGCCCACGAGCCAACGCAAGATTTTTGGTGCGGAATGAAGAGGGAAATGTGAAAACTTGCTAGACTTTACTGATATATGGAAAAACATACTTGTTTGGAGATTCCTCTAGAATCAAAAAGAAATTGTAATCTTTTTTGCAACTTTGCATTTCAAATAAACAAAATTGGGCAGAGGTCTGAACGAAAATTAAATTATGTTTGCGTTTAGTCAATAACCGAGAACAATAAAAATATTACTAATTAATAATAAAACATATTAATATTGCTAGCAGAACAGGATCATTTTCATAGATAAAACATAAGATAAAATTGATATAAATAATGAACTGATATTTTGCAAATTAAAATGGCTTCATGTAAGAATTTTCTATAAAAAAATATTTTGCTCAAAATGTACTTGTATGGTATTGCAAAATAATTATGCATTGCGTCGCAGACTAACCGCTTAAGAAAAGTACTCGAGTCAGCTTTATGCATCAAAAGCGTGTTCATTTTTGCACAGAAAAAATTAATTACCGCCGGCGCCAGATTTGTCGTGCGGAATGAAGAGGGTAAATTGCGGCAGCTTTATAATGATATATTTAAAAACATACTTGTGTGGATTGCAAAACGCAAATCCACACAAAATCTGATATGAATAAAATTAATGAGGTAGTACACATGTAAGTATTTTTTTTCTAATTATTTTTTAAAGATTTAAAAAAAAGCTTTTAATTAAGGCACAATACTAAAATTTGGTCAGAGTGACAATATTATAACAATTTAATTCTGTTTTTTTTTCCAGTTTTGGAATTTTTCAGCCGATAAATTTATTGTGCCGCACGTTAATTCAAGCGAAACGAAATTGCAAATTCCCGGAAAGGGGCTCGCAAGAAGGAAAACTGCTTGCAGCTAGGTCTGCTGGTACAAAATTTGTTATGCATCTCTCGTGTGTCAACCGCAGCAGCATTGTGAGCACTGCGAGTTGGATGCATATAATATATTGATGATGGTGCTGTGCGGTTCGTGAGCGTGTGTTTGTTGAATATAAGAGCGCGTTCCGGGGCTCTTAAATCTACTCAGTTGACTCGGTGGCCATTTGGAAAATGGGCTTTCCGCCGCTATTTGCCTTCCATCCAAAATTCTATTACGATTTCACGTTCAGTGAACAAAATCAACATGAAAATAAAAGAAAAATAACATTTTATTTTGCTTTGAGAAGAAAAAAATCAAATATACATGGTTTATTATAATATTCATAATATTTTTTGTTCATTTCCATTATGCAATCGTTTTGCATTATAAAATTAATAACAATTTAAGAACCAAAAGGCACAAAATCAAAGAGAAATTATTTACTTTTAAAAATTATATTGAAAAAGTTCTTATTTTACGCAATATCGTAATTTAATTTCTTCTTGAATGTGTAAGATGAACTTTTATGGAAAAATTTTGGTTTTGAAAGCAGAACTGCTTTTATAGCCGAAATGAAATAATAATACAACAAAAATTAATAAATAACATAATTATAGTCATTGCGAAGTCTCTTTCTTATTTAAATGAAATTAAAAAAAAATTATTATAATAATATATATTTTAATTAATATATATCTAAAAACAACAATCTTTCATTGCATATTTTTTCGCTTGATATTTGAAAATTTTCAATTTGAAAAGCCCTGGAGAGTTTGTCATCAAAAAGCCAGCAGTGACATACAACCACACACACCGGACCGGCGGGCGGGCGGGCGGTGAGAGGTAAATGTATATAAATTCATATATACGCATAGAAATAAATGTGCCATCGCATAAGTGCATGTAGTACAAGCAATAAAATTATACTTTATGCACGTAGACATGTGTGTGTATGTTATCAACAGCAGGACGACGGCATTATTTATGGCCAAGTGCGCGCGAGGTGACGCCTTTCTGGCACTCATCTCGCTCGAGAAAGCAGCGCCAATGAATGTCACGTTGGTGACAGCTCGGGAAAAAAATTTAACTCTTGTCCAACACTCGATATGCAGTCGGATAAATAACACATTTGAATCGAGAATGGACGCGGCATCGTAGTCTATTTTTACAGCTGTCAGCCCGGAGCGTGCAATTTTGCGGCAAATGAAGCTAAATGTGTCTGTGGCTGCTCTGAGTGCATAAAAAATATAAATGTAGCATAAAGCAGTGGAATTTTATTTTAGATGAAAAGTAAAAAAAAAAATTAAAAATATATTAGACTAAATTGAATTTTTGGAATTTTTCTTCGTGGAAAATATTTCTGTAAATAAAAATAATAATTAAACAATTAAATAGTATATTTTTTTAATTGAATAGAAGTACAATAAGTTTTTTTCCTATATGTCTATATATTCAGAAATATTCTTTAATAAAGCGGCTACTTTTTGGGTCTTCTATTCATATATTTTAATTTTTTAACCTTTGTGAAAGATCTATTGGAATTAGTTTTATGCTGGCATTGAAATAAATATTGAATGCTGCGCTGTTTTAAATTAATTTATGTTGTCTCATTTAATTATGACAGCGCTGATTTTCAAAGATGAGACACTTAAATTTAAAGGCCAATTTTGTCCTCCAAATAATCATTTCACTGAATTTAGCGAAATTTACACAAACTTATGGCAAACAGTAAAAGTTCCATTAAATGTCGGTAAAACAATATCTTAAAAATTGTTACAAAATATTCTTTTATATATAAACGACCCAAAATAATTTGATAAAATAAGTGTAAAAAATTTATTCAAAAATCTCCAAAAGTATTTGGTGAATCCAGAAAATGTTTTCTTTTCTCATATTTTTTAATCAGAATGGTATAATTCGCAAAAATCAATTATCAGAACAAATGAAATGAATTAAATAAATAAATAAAACTTCCCCAGGAAATATTAGGTAACGTTTTTGAACTATTCATAATAAAAAAATTTAAAATGGAATTTAATTATATGTTAATGAAAACGCGTTGTATAAAAAAACTAAAAAAATTAAAATGTACAATATTTTATTATAATATGCAATATTTCAAAACATGTTCGATGTAATGAACGCCAACTCTAATTACTCTCTGCATGCTCGGTCATGTCCTGTTCTTTTTTGCCGGTGGATATTTAATATGACGGCAGTTAAAATTCTTTATAATCAGCCAAGTGAGCGAAAATGCAGACACCGACAATGAGATGCTTGTTGACGGGCGAGAAAGCGGACTGCGCCGGGGAATACACATATAGAAGCGTCCCGTCATTGGGAGGATGAAAAAGTCACGGCCAGAGAAAAATCTTTGACAAGTAAACGTCCTCGCTGTTCTGGCTGCAGAGGAAGAGTAGCATCAGCGTCGCTCTTGTCAATCAGCGGATCATTATACGCGTAGAGTAGGAAATTTCCCTGTCATCACATTCAAGAGCAAAAAAATTATAACAGAACTAGTCATCAACTTATTTTTTTCTGTAGTTAGCTCAATTTCACTGCTCTATTTCTTTGGTGTAATTTAAAAAATTTTAACAATATAGTTTGTTAAATTAAAAGTTAACGTTGAAATTCAACTTGAAAACACGAAGCTTTAACCTCGTTGAAAAAAATGTAAAAAAAAAAAATAATATCAATTATTTACATGTAAAGGCCACTGCCATTTTTAATTGTAGAATGAAAAAGTAATATAATTAAATATAATTTACAAAATCACAAAATGAAAACAAAATGCAGCAATTCATTGAAAATCTTTGGTATATGGAAACAAGTTTCCTACGTTTATGTTAGGCAATTTTTTATTATTTTTACTTACAGGTTTAAAGTTTTAGTTAGTGTTGAAACATTTTTGCAAATAATTAATTTGATTTAAGAAATTGATTTTTTTTTTTAATTAGGTTATATTATTTAAAAAATTTGTTTATTATTTTTTTAATATAATAGAATTAATCTTTTCAATTTGATAATACAGTGGATTTTAAATTATTACCCTCAAATTTTGCGTCCAGCATTTTATTATTCAGTAGAAATACAACAAAATTCTCTTTGTGCAAAGAATCCATCAAGGCAATCACCCAAGAAATGGACCATCTGCCAGAGGGAAAGAGCACGTTATAAATTATAAGGGAAAAAGAACCGCGGCACATGTTATGGTTCTCTGTGTTGGCCGCACTCGGAAATTCTCATTCGCATTCAAGTCCGCAAAGGGAGGGACACTCGGTGCCGCAATTTTCCGAGCCTGAGCTGCAGCTGAAATGTCCGCTGCTGGCTGCCCTAACGAACTCATTAAATTATTTATAAAGAAAGGAAAATAAGTGTACACTTGCGGTCACACTGACGTGTTCGCCACGGCACAATGCAACAACGACGAGAAAA